TAACCCTTAACAGACCAAAATATTATTTGATAAAATATTAAAATATTAATATTAAATATTAAATAATATTCTCAGATTCATAATCACAACACATCAGACATCCAACTCTGACTCACACTATTCAAACAACTATCCACTAAAGCAGTCACTCTCACAGGAGATTTACATTGACAATTTAATCTAATGCTATTTGGACTTTGGTGGGAAACCAGAGAAGCTAAAGTAGATCCGCACAGGTAGAAAGAAAAACGGAATCATTACAAAAGAGGTGGGCAGGGCAAAATTTTGAAAATAACATGAGACAATCTGTGACCACCAACGTATATATAGTCTTTGTAAAATTACCACTGTTTGTCATCTTTGTAATGCATTTAAAAATACATATTCATATCCATACCACTTAATGTTTTTTTATACAACCTATAACACTGTAAAGTCAAACTTTTCAGACCAACTTATTTGCTTACCATTTGCCAACAAATCAGTGTATAGACTACATGTTTATATTACCCCTACCATCAGCGGTTTGATATAGAGGTGAAAGCTTCATTAGATTTGGTTAATCTAGGTGCAGCCTAATCACAACATGCTTGTTCAAGTATTAGTTAAAAGTCTTATCAGGAGACAGGATTACACCAGAGAAAGAATGCTATTTGTATGTGAAATGAGCAAATTATACATCCAGTTTCAGTTCAAGCAAAAACATAAAGCAAATGGAGTGAGAAGGTCAGGTGTAAGATCAGCTCTAAGGTCTCTAGAGCAGCATCTGCACATTATAATAAGGCATAAAATGTGTTATCTAATAACAGCTGTTTGGTTTTTGGTTTAACACTTTTATCTGCAACTCAGGAGTAGAAATTCTGGTAAAGTTGTTTTTTAAAACTGTGTCAACATATGGCAACATTCCAAAAAAAGAGTTTTATTTTTTGACCAGCCAACTTGTTTTCAATAAACAACACTTCAGTTATTTTGATCTTGTGCTTATTATTGGCAAACAGAAAAGAAAAAAGAAATCTCAGGTGGTGATTTCTGCAAACCTTTATCTTAGCTGCTTGTTTTTTCATCAGACATAAGGGTTTCCTCTTCAGTACATTTCAGTATGAATACATATTTTCTTCTTTTTTTGGAAACCACAGAAGATGACAATTGTGGGTCAAATAGGGTAAAAACGTTTTTTTAAAACGTTTTTTTCCAGCCTATTTAATGAGGTTTGTATTTATATGTCCAAAAGTCAATGATCGTCTTATTTACAGACAATAAGAAAACTGAAAGTAAATGAGTTCATTTATTATCTATATCTGATTAATCCCTGCGTGGTCACTGGGGGGGCTGGTGCCCCTCTCCAGCTGTCAGTGGGCAAGAGGAAAAATAGTTCCTAGACTGGCCACCAGTCTGTCACAGGGCCAACTCAGAGACACAAAATACCAAGAACCAGTCACATACAGTTATTTTAATTCCTAAGGAGGACAGCAACACTCTCATCTAGATCCATGTTAGATGTTAAATATACTATCCAGGATACAACAGCTTGGGTTTAGATTATCTGCCCTAAATTCATAAAATCTCTTAGGATTATTGGGATATATAGTACAAAGAGAAACATTATCATCAGCTGTGGTGAAGGTCAGTAATATAGACATGCACCATGCTCTCTCCAAACATTTACATAATTTAGTTTATCCATCCACCTAGAACACAACGCTGACACATCATTATAAAAGGCAGTGCAGAGAAAGTTATTCCTGTTGAACTTGTCACAGTGGCTACAGATCAAGTTTTACAAAGTAATTGGTAAAGGGCCTTAGGTTCAACCTTCATATAGCACAAAAGCAGACTGCATCAAAGAGTCAGAGCAGTGGAGAATGTAATTGGTGTCACCTTGGCAACCTTTCAGGACTGATACTCTGAGATGAGTATGGAAAAAAATGGGGAAAATAAACATCTACTGACTCCCATCTCAAACCTGACATACAGATAGGTGCCACTGGCCAAAAAAAAGCAATAATGTGATTTTGTTCATGTTCTATAAATCAACTCCAAATATTTTCTCAGTTGATGAGACAGTAGGATGTGACTGCCATTTGTTACAACTCCTTAATAGGAATCCACTTTTGTGCCATTAAAATGTCATGTATGCACGTCATCTGAACAAAAAGTACCTGCTTTATTGATAATGATATGACTGGGCTTGACTGGACGAGAATTTGCCAGACCTAAAGCAGAAGGAATGGACGAGGTGGCTGAGTGGCTAAGGCGATGGACTGCTAATCCATTGTGCTCTGCACACATGGATTCGAATCCCATCCTCGTTGCCCAGTTGTTGCTGTAAAGAATTTGACCCTGGAATGAAAAAAAAACCTCTAGGGCTGCATGGTGGCACAGTTGGTAGCACTATTGCCTTGCAGCAAAAAGGTCCTGGGTTCGATTCCCGGCCGGGGGTCTTTCTGCATGGAGTTTGCATGTTCTCCCCGTGCATGTGTGGGTTCTCACCGGGTACTCCGGCTTCCTCCCACAGTCCAAAGACATGCCTGTTAGGTTAATTGGTCACTCTAAATTGCCCTTAGGTGTATGAATGAGTGTGTGCATGGTTGTTTGTGTGTTGCCCTGCGATGGACTGGCGACCTGTCCAGGGTGTACCCCGCCCATAGACTGCTGGATATAGGATATGGAATAAGCAGTAGAAAATGACTGACTGACTGACTAAAGCAGAAGGAAAGAAATGGTGGAAGTTTTTTTATGAGAAAGATGAGAGAAACCAGACCCAGTAATGCAGATGAGCTGAAAACCTCAGCAGTACCAGGGACTGGTCGCCTCCATGCCACTTCACGTTGATGCAGTAATTCCTTTACTGCCTCAGTACTCCTTTAGAACAAAGGAGTACTGAGTGCATATACTGTGCAATACATTGATTCAATTTGTTCCTGTAAGTTATATCATCAAACTTAAACAGAAATAAACATTTAAAATGTATCACTCACTTTGACTTTTTTTAAATTAATTTAGAGACTTAGAGAAACTAAGTCTCTAAACTAAATTAACTTAGAGAAACTTTATACTGATATCCTAACTTGTTGAAATGCGCCTGTACAATAATTCCTATAAGATTATCTTAAAATGTCATGTGCGGAATGTCGTTTTTCTATCTCAAAAACTTGTTATCCCATAAATTACGCTATTCCAAAGGATACAAAAAGCCTAAGCTCAGAAAACACAGGAAGACATTCTCACACCGAGTAACTTTGGGTAAAAAAAAGGATGCTTGTGCTGGTATGTCAAAGTGGAGCTATTTTGGACATCTTAAGCTATAATTTAGTGTAATTTGCTTAGGGTGCCATCTTCGTGACTTTGACAGTCTGGTAGTTATTTAGGTCCTCCTTGTTTTTCCTTCACTTGTCCTTACAATTCACAGAGGCAAATTAACATGTAATTATACAACATTTGTGCACAGCTAGTTCACTCTGCAGGACCCAGCTGGCATGAGAGGCCCTTGTTGTTGGGTTCACAGCAGCTCTCTTTCCCGGCTCATGCTATTCCCAGGTTGTGGTGGTCATGTTAAATGATGACCTCATTCACCAAATGTTCCCTGTGCCTTTATAATGCCCACTGTATACGAGTGGTGATAACATCAATGATGTCTATTTTAGAATCTGCACCATAGGTGGAAGGTTGTTTTCAAACTTCCATCTGTTCTGAATGGGCATAGACATTTGCCAGGTAGCATTTCCAGAGTGCCATCAGTGTATTTGTGGAAATGTCTTTAATGAGAACATGTGAATTGTGAACATTTCCATGTGAGTATGAGGGCACCCATAACTGTGTCTTGTAAAGTGAAACGCAAATGTCTGTATCCCATAGCCAGATACAGTGATTATAATTATCTAACAACCGCAAATATTTGCAAAATCTGTGTTGGAGTTATCCTTAAAGCAATATCTTGAACAGAACTGCATAAACACAAGAATGCAAAATAAGTTTATTTGAAGCAAATTTTCACTATAACTTAAATGTATTACAGTGTGATTGTCTTTGTATCTGAAAAAAACAATTGTTCATCTGTCCTGTTGTATTCCTGTAGAGTGAACTTCTGCATTTTTTCCCAGCAGTGGGTTGGGTGTAAATGTTTTCTCAATTTTTAGTATCCTATAGATTTCATTGTTGCTTTCTGTCGCATTTTATGATGCACACATTCTCTGAATAGTAATTGTTTCTTACAGTTTAATTAAATGTGTTGTCCCAAAAATGCATTTGTGTTTCTTTTTTTCCCACTAAAATGCTCATCACACTATTGTGTTTGTGTTTTGCATTTCAGTTGTGTAGATATACCGCTTTAGTTACATATCACTTCAGTATTCCCTCTCTTTGCATCTAGTACATTGGCAGACAATGTTTGTTTACAAGCTGAAAAAATCAGCGTCATGCGTGCAGCGACTGTGAGACCCTGTATATACAGCACATATGCAAATGCAAAGGAATTTTTCACAAGTCTGACTTAAATGTCACAGATTTACTTAATCGCATGCTACACTAAGTCTGGACTGATTAAGCTTCCACCTCACCATGCAGAATGCTTAAAGTAGCTCAAACTGATGGCAATCTGATCTACCTTTTAATTAATTCACCACATTGGGGAACTCATAGAACAAAAAAAACGGTGCCTCATTGATGTAGTAGAATACTTCATTTTTAGATAGATACACCAACGAACACGACAAGATAAGAAACAGTGTGAAAGTATATCTACTTAGAGTCTTTATTGCCGAAAGCAGCATTATTTCACCTGTTAATTTCTAAAAAGGAATTTTGTACCATAGATGCCAGTATTCACAAAGGGAGTGCCTCAAAAGTGACACATACTGTAAGGGCATGGCAAAATCCCCTTCATTTTCTCACATTTCAACATGCATAACATGTTTTTCAATACTCCTGCAGGATAGAAAACTATCCATCCTAAAATTCCACACATCTGCACCTAAAGTTGTTGGAAAATAATCTTGTTCATAGTGCTTAGGTTGTTACAAACAAGAACTGACAACAAGTTTTTGCACAACATGTCTTAAAAATAATCCTTTGCTCTTTAAAGTAAGAACGTGTGTTTGTAACATCTGGACAGTTGTGTGTGTTTTTTTTACATTGGCTGCATGGGGTTTCTCTGACTATCACGGCTTCCTCCCACATTATGATAAGATATATCTTAAGCTAATTAACAATTCTAAATTGGCTGTGTTAAATGTGCCATTGTCTTTTTCCTTCCATTGACCTTGTGATGGACTTGATACACCACGCCTCCAGCCAAACACACCCAAGCTGCCAGTTGCCCAAACCTATTGTCACCCTCTAAGTGGGTAGGTGATATAGATATAACTGCTAAAAAGGACGAAAGCAAAGATGATTGCTGTGTTCTGAGTTTCAGTGTTCTGAGCTTAAAATAAACATTTTACATAGCAGTCAAGCTTAGGCTATACTGAGAATGAAACCCAGAAAATGTATTTCTTCTCTTTAGTTACCTTTAGAAAATCTCTGAAATTGTTTTGAAAATCTTTGTTAATTAGCACAAAAATATAGCTCTAACACTGGTATTTTTACTGCTCATTTTAATTGTACTAATCAGGACACACTTTCCTTTTTTTGGTTTATGCACCGCTGTGAGTCCCTTTGCTTCAACAGGAATGGCCTATTTACATAAATTGAATGCAGTAATCTTACATGCGTGGATGGCAGCTCATATATCAAAGTAAAAAAAAGCTGGTGTGGTTATGCTTGTACTATAAATGTTTAACAACAAAGATCGTGTGGCTATACACGACCACAGGGGTTCAATGACACCAGAAAAGGCTAAACTGAAAATACCATCATATATTGGGTATGTGAATGCATATTTTTATATCAAGTTTTTGTTCTTTCAGTTATGTTGTCATTGTGAAGTTTTGTTGATTTACAAGTTTTTTACTTTAGCAGTTAGCGTTAAATAATGAAGTCATAGTGGTCACATTGATTAAAGAAGGCTTTAAAATTGAGATTTCCTGTTTCATTTAAATAGTCAGGTTTGTAATTAAAATCTGAATATGACTGTGTTTTGTTGAATTTTATATTAGTGAACTTAATTCCATTGTTTTTCATAAACAGGATCTATTTAAAAAAAAAAAAGTGATTACCTTTTTCCTAAGTTTGTACTATTTAAATAAAGTGAGCTGAATTGAACATAGTGGAACATTTTTCACATTTTCTAAACTATACAGATTAATTCAGTAAATTTAAATATTATTAAAAAGTTGATTTATTTCAGTAAGAATTCAGTAAGTGAAACATATTATATAGCTTAATTCAACATAGACTGATGTTTTAAAGCCTCTATTTTTGTTAATTATGACAATTTTACACTTACAGCTAATGACAATTCAATTCAATTCAATTCAAAAATACTTTATTAATCCCAAAGGGAAATTAAATATTGTTATAGCTCATATTATGAAGGTTTCCTCAAAGAGCCGTTGTAGATGCTGATGGCTGTGGGCAGGAA